CTCTTTTATTTTAGTCAACTTTTATTGTGACATCACTCTACATGGTTTAGAATACCCCAGAAAAGTTATCGATGAGCCGATTTTAAAAATATAACCTTTATCATACCATAGGTAGATATTGATAAATATATAATTTCGTCTTCATGATATAGGTACATGCCTAACATAGACACACATATTTAGTTTCTTTAATTAATTTAGGCCAGTACAATATTTATATTTCATATCGTCTTTAAAAAAACTGTAATGTAAGTTTATATACCTCTAGCATTTATAGATAGAGCATTTTTCTATAACTTCAAATTCATTAGGGACAACCTACAAAATAAAATAATTATTCATATAAAATTGTACTATGGTCAAGAAATTATCCGTCTTTAGGGGTCGATCTTTTCACCTCTGAGTAAAGTTACATGTAGATTTACTTTACAGAATAACAAACAATAGCCCTATAGTTTAATAAGCCAGTAGTTACTTTCAACTTGACTCAGAGGTGAAAAGATTGGCCCTTAATAAAATATATAATAAAATTGTAACACTTTTTTGAAACTTCATTTATCTTTTGTTGGAAACAAAAAAAAATGCTTGAAGCATAATTGGGTATAAAACAAATGACCCTGGAACAAAAAATAAAATATAAATTCCAGCCGTAATTTCGAAATTAACATAACCTCAAAAATAATAGAATTCTTCCGATTTATTAAAGTCGCAGTTTTATTTAAACTTAATTTTTAATAAATACAATACACAATTAAAATTATCTCATGTTGATTTTTATATTTTGACAGCTTGATTGAAAAGTTTGAAGCGTTGAGAAGATATAATGAAGTAGGTAGGTGACGACATATACAATATTTTGTGATATGATAAGTAGATGCACTTTGAGTCATATTTTGATTAATTTTAAGTTAATAATTTTATATTTACAGATTGACGGCATGAAAATGATTTTATATCATTTAAATCACGCTATTTTATTTATTCTCACCAAAACTGACTAGATCAAGTTTGACATATATCGTAAAAGGGTAATGCAGAAGTGTAGATACTTTTAGTACCGTCATTGCATCTCTTTATTCTATATCTATATTTTGAAAAATTTGTATGCCTCGCCCTACTTTGTGACGTCACTGTGCGCGTTGCGAATAATAAGGTAATTTTAGTGATTTTAAGAATTGTCTTTGTTCGTTTCGCGGATCTGTTAACGTGATGACATCTCTTTTTAACTAGAAGGTTTCGCAAAAGCATCTCGCTCCCTGGAGCTCCCTCAGAGATCAGTCAGAGCACAGTGGTGTACCAAAAAAAAAAGATTAACACGTATGAAAACAATAAAATAATAAAAATTGAATTTATATTTTTGTCATTTATTTTAAAATAATGTGTTTAATGAAATGTAACTGGGTGTTCACTGCACAATTAAACCAATGGAGAAATCGTCCCTGGTACATGGTCAAAACTTAATACAGTTGCTCTTGAAGTTAACTTAATTCACTTAAACTGCAACATCTTTAAGAATGCCAAATGTAATTAAAGAGCTGATTAGCGTGGGTCAAAGTAAAAAATGGTCATGGGTGGTATTTTTTTATCAGTGGCGTAACGATGTTTGAAAATAAAGTGCCACAATTTTTATGTGAAAATATGCAAACCACGACACACAAATTTTCACATGTAATAAATACCAAAAGAGATTAAAATTTGGTTTTTAATTAAACCTCGAGTAGTATTGGATAAGAACATTTTATACAAGGTTGCGTTTAATTAAGTAACTATGACCAGAATTTACTTTTACTTTAACATAACTTTTTATTACATTTTTGACTGTATAAGTGATGTATTTCTAATGATTATAGATGATATACAATAATTATTGTAATCGGATTTATAATAAATATATATTTCTCCATAACTATCCTTTAATTCAATGATCTTATGATCTTTTCCAAATACCTTTTTCTGTGAGCTTTCATATACGTATTTCTATATCTAACAATTACGTTAAATTCATGACAATATTTCATTTAACATATATATATAATAATTAAAAATTTAAATTACTTTAGATGTCAAATGTAAATAAAATAATAGAATGAAGATTATAATGTTTGGCATTCTATATTATACCCTTCACAGTTTAACAGATGCCCCCCTTAACCCCCATTTTTAATCCATTTTTTAAAAATCAATAGACTTCATTCCTATATAAAGCTTGATTTTTACTAAACATTTCATGATGATATCGCTATTGGTATTTGATTTCTATCCTTTTTTTTTTTAATTTCAACCTCCCTAATGGGTTGCCTAAGAAAATACTGCCACGGCTATTTTTTACTTTGCTTTCTGTATATAGATAAGAAAAGTATAGGAAATATGATAAAAATTGTTTGTGATGTCATTCTCTACAATTTTGGTCATATACATGATTTCTTTAAAATGTTCCGTATTTGAGATATTTCAGAAGTGCAAATTTGGAATTTTGAAAATAACTCAAAAATCGTTTCACCATTTTATTGAATACTTCCGCTAAAATCATCAAAATTTATAGTCGTTTTGTTTCTTACACTGAGTTATAATTATATATCCGCAAATGTTATTTTGTTTTTAAGTTTGATGGTAATGGTTGAGGAGCCAGTGACACTTTTAGGTGTGTTATTTGGGAAAGGTAAAATTTTATTACTAATATATCATTCATTCTTACCTTGTAGAACATAGAAATAGTTTGCTACGCAGCGATGGAAATCTCGACGATGACATTTTAAAAAAGCCTGTGTAGAAAATGCTGTCATAGAAGCGTAAACTTGAAACATTTGCATCAAAAGATAATAGAAAAAAATTTCCTGAAATTCGGCTCACAGCTGACAGGGAATTTCACCGCTAGATAGCAACAAGTATTTTCTTTTTCTTCAAATGTGTACTAAAAAAGTTTCACTGGCTCCCTACTATATACCTTAGACTAGGTAATAAAGAGGACGCGTAACAAGTATATCGAACACACGTAGTATTCTGTGTCGATTATCTATTGGCCGCCATTATTTTGGTGTTAAGCATTTCGGTGACAACAAAGTTTTTGTTCGTGTTTATTTCTGATTTTTGAATTAAACCATATTTAATTATTGTTTTATTACAATGGTTTATTGTGTGACATATCAGTGTAAAAATTATAGCGGCAAGAAAGAAGCAGATATTACGTTTCACAGGTAAATGATAAATATCAATCGTTTTCACTTTATATATTTTCTTAAATTTCTCATTTTATTTGGTGTTATACAACTTGGTATTTACATATTGTACATATCTCACTCCAGAGTAATAAATTTTACCCACCAAGTTTGTTTATTTTATGCTTTTCATTGATATTTAAGCAATTAATGATATTAAAATGGCCAAACATGAATTTTTTTCCAGTGGCGTGTCGTACAATTCTAAATATTAACTTTTATTAAATTCTAATTTACTTTTGCGTTTTATTTAATTGCTGCAATGTTTATTTGTTGTTTTATTTTAGATTTCCTGTGGATCCAGCAAAAAAATCTTTGGATTCAGGCAAATTGGATACCGATGCCAAATGATAGATTGTGTTCAAAACATTTTGAAAGACATTTTTTATATAAAAGACGTTTACTAAATGGAGCAGTTCCAAAAGTATTTCCAGAATTACCTAAATACATGCAGCAGCGTATACTAATAAACATAATTAAACATACATATTTTTTTAATTACTTTCATTATTATGTTATGAACTTTTAAGAATTTAGCAACCCTTTTGTGTATAATTCAAAAAATTGCCGTAATAATTGATTGTGTGTAGGACTTAAAAAGAACAACATTGCATTTGAAAGCTGAGCCAGGCCCTTTAAATAGAGCTTCAAATAAGGAATCTATCTTAGAAAGCCCTTGCATAAAACGGCTTAGAAGACAACTTTTACAACAGGTAGAAAAGAATAAAGAAAAAACAATACAAGCCAAAGTTCTTGAACAAAAACTTAAAAGATAAAAAAAGAGTTGTTTTACTAAAACTTTTTGTTATTATACCAAATTATTATTATTTAAGGGTCAGTAACAAATTTATCTTTATACATGTATACTTTTTCTTACTAGCTTAATTTAATAATACCCAGATAGCACACTGCATCTTAAAGACGTTCAGTTCATGTCTTACTTTCGTCCATGTACAGGAAGTTATTTAAATAATTAATTAGAATTTGGAAAAAATGTGAATTTATACGAAGCAAGACATGCCCCCCTCCTTTCAAGCGTCGCCCCGACGCTTAAACAATGAAATTCAAATTTATCCCAATCGGAATGACATAAGGTTGGAGTTGGTTTGGCTAAAAATCTACATAGGATTGAGTTTTATTTTATTATTACAATAGTGACTCTGAACTTCTAAAAAATAAAAAAAAAAATAATAAAACTGAATCTTACTCTTTCTAATTCTAAATATTAGGTACAACCATTTTTTCCACATATCGTGTTTCTTGTTTGTCTATCTTAAAACCGTCTTGACAGTAAACTAACCATTAAATCATCGATTGTATTGGCATCATTTACTTAGCTTCCGGTATACATTCGTCGTGAGAAAAAAAATATGGAAAAACTTTGACACAACAGCTTTTTAGTAAAATTAATTAAGGTGGCAAAAAATCATATAAACTCACTTAAAAAGGGCACAATGACAGACTTTCCTACGAAATTCCACAACCTCGACAGAAGAAGAGCTTCTTCAAATTATTATAAGAGACTGCTTTAAATTCCACCCAGTTTGATATAAACCAGGCAACTGAAAACCTTCGCCCAAAATCGTACCAAGAAAAATTATTTTGGGTTGAAACATTAGTCTACTTCAAAAAAACCGCTCCTCTAATAGAACTGCTTAAAGAAGGAAATAGAGAATACGTGAAGATAATCATAAGGCAGAGATGGTTCATTGATGATGCATTTAAAGATATGAGTGCTTTAGAACTGCTTAATCAGTTCTTTCCATGTGTGTCTTATAATACTAGAGTGAAGTTATTAAGAAGAATTCCGAATTGTTTGGTGAGGAGAAAGTAGACGAATTGTTTGATGCTGTACAGAAAAGATATAGTATCTACATCGCTTTGGATGTATTAAACGCTTACAGTACCTCCAAAATCAAGATTATTCTCGAAGAGAACGAAATTTTATTACATGCATACCAAGTGATTCATATATTTAAGAAAAAGGAAGATCTTTTTAAAATATATATCGATTACAGTGTTAGTTTGCTTAAAAAACCGTACGGTGAGAATGGTGTCCTGAATGTATTGGCTTTCCAGAACCCTTCTCTCTTCTTACAATTATTTAAATGTGATAAAATAGTTACCGAAACATTACCGAAAGCAACTAGTGCAGGAATTGCAAATATCACCAAACCAGAAATACTAGAAAATCCTAAATACGGATTTCGTTATATTTTATAGAACGTTTTTCCCAAAAAAAATTTCAACCTGCGACTCCATTAAAATCCTCAAACATTTACCCAAAAATACAAGATAACGAGCATTTTACGAAACATTAAAAATCAATTTTTCGCAAAAAAGTATCGATGAATTGTTTATGGTAATGGATTCCACCATTCTCCAATAGAATCCTAGTAAAGAAATTGTAAAAACTTAAATTGTAAAAAAATACGATTTTCTGCAGTACTACCCGACAGCTGCTTCGATACCGATGTTGAAAGAAAATATAAATATCACTTCGGATACAGAGAAAAGATTGCTGCTTCTGATTACAACTTGTGCAGAAAATAAAGACATGGAAGCTCTGGATGTGGTTATACAGTATGTTGAGATCAGGCACAAAAACGAAAATCCACAGACTATTAAAAAAATCATTGAGTTAATTTGTAAGGCGTTCAATAAAGGCGAACTGACCAAACGCAACAAATCATTTTAATTCGTACGAAAGATAGTTTCTTTTTACGATTACCAAAGCATTTGGAAAACATGTGAATTTATACGAAGCGTAATAATATTACCAACGCTTGGTTATCTTTTTTTTTTCTTGGCTAGCTGTAGGCTTTGCTCCAGTGATTATATTAAATCAATAGCTTTTCGCAGTATTGTTACGCTAAATTTCCAGAGCTGAAAGTTGCTTCCACCAAATTTGACAATTTAATTAATTCTTGAGCCATTCTTAATCAGTGAATCGTTCTCAAAATGCAACTTAGCTGCGTGATTTTGATGGAATGTTTCAATAATTTTCAAATATATTATTATATCCAATTGAAAAATATATCCAATACCTCTTGCTTTCTTTAGACGTAGTTAAGAGTAATTGGACCCATAATCTATTAGCCAGCAGAGACCTTTTAGGATATGAAATTGTAAAAACTACAACTATCTATAAACATTTACAGTATGATTATTTAATGAAATCCTTTCAATACTTTTTAAAAATAAATAAATAAAAGTGTTCCGCCGCTGATTGTTCCCAATTAGTGGGGCCACATTACGTAAGCTAGTAATTGGAATTCTACTTACTTCTATTGTGAATATCTAATTTCTTATTTTTATCCATAGTTACCGCCTGTGCAATCTCCCACATATAAAGAATTGGCAGTTAATTACATAACTGTTTGTGAGTCAACACAGAACCATTGTTCTTAATAAATCTGGTATTATTTTTCAAAAAAATGTCATATAATTGATATAATTAGTAGCCTTTATTATACGAACAATATTGTATGTAGATTGGGATCTTACAGTGCAGGGTCGGGAAAAATAATTTTCATTCGATTCATATGTCCACTTCCTTGAAAATAGAATATAATAATTAGATTTTTGTTGAATTTTTTCTTGAGAAAATAACGTTTGATACGGATCTAACACTAGTAATAACTTGTAATAACACCAACACTACACGCTAACACTTATTGTTTCTTGTGAAACACTTCAATTCATTCACTCATTTAAACTTAAGAGGGCGTGTCCCGCAGTTAGTTATGTAGATGGCGACACTGTTTTTTATTTTCACTATTATTTTAAAAAGAAGTTGTACAAAAAAATCATTGTTTAGAGTCCCATCCTTGAAAATGATAATATATTTCCCAGATAGTACAGGACGTGCTAAGGATGTCCATTACATGTCCATTTTTCCTCTGTACGTCCAGGACCAATTATGGACGTTTTAAGTATGTCCAGTTTAGTAAATCCTCGGGACGTCAAGAAATAAATATCTGCAAAACGTCAACTCTACGTGCTTTACTATATTTCCATGGATTCACATTGTATTATTATTCGGTTATATTATATAAAAAACATATATGAGATAATATTCGCCGGGTGCGCGAAGGAAGCGACATCTTGTGACCGTATTAAATCTGGCCCTATCAATGATGAATTACATGCAACATTTTTATAAATACAAAATAAAAAAAAATCGCTGTAAAATATGAGTGTAATACGTGATAAATATTAAATAAATAGTAAATATTACATATCGCGATTAAAAAAAGTAAGTATAAGTAATTTTAATGAGTATAAAATACATTTTATTTTAAACAGAATAATGCTGAATACATAAAGGGCAAAAATAAAGAAGAACAGAAGAATAGTATTAGGTTAACTGTCAAAAAAGGTTAGTTTAAGATTTAAACTATTAAGGCCAAGTTCAATGACAAGTGACGGCGACTTTTTTATCACAAGAAATACAGCTCTGAACGATAATATTTTCAAAAACTGTTTTCATAAATGGGTTCAAAAACTGTAAAGAATGATGGAAAGTCCATGGTTTGTTTTACTTTTAATACATAATATTTTAATAAGTGATATTTAACAAATATTTAAAAGTTATGGACTTTCCATCATTTTTTATAGTATTTAAAAGTTAAAACGCAAAATACATTCTTTTATTTTTGCCTAATTATTTCAGGATTCTTTTGATAAGATTTAAAAATGTAGGGCCCATAAGATGCTGCCATCTGAACAGACGGAATAGACACTAAATTTGAAATTGCAACATCGCTCCCTATGCAGACGAATGTAAAATGGCTTATCCCAATTTGACCATGTTTCTGGGTGAGGGGCGAGGTGGTGTGCGGGGAAAGGTTGCAAGTAAATAAATTATTCTATAAAAAATGCTATTTTCTGTTTGGAACACAACACAAGCATGTTTGTTTTGAAAGTTTGACGTTTATGGTTTGACGTGTCATTTCAATTTAATGGACTTTAATAATTTAAAAGATGCAATGTACTTATTTATATATTATATTATTGTAGATCCAGGTATGTTTTCGGTTTTTATTTTATTTTTATTTTCTTTATTTGGCTAGTTTGCTAATATCACAATATTCAAATTTAGTAAAAAATAATGTAATAATATAACAATTATTTTAATAACATTCTAAATAGGAAATTTAATTTAACTGCAATTGTTTTGATAACAGTATTTGCATATGGTCTGTGAATTTCATCTGTTTCCGAATAATTACCCTTAAATATTTAAATTTTTCTACTAACTGTATAGATTTTCTTTCAATTTCCTATATTGTTTGTCCACAAACTGCATATAGTTATTACTTATCAGCTTATATTTTGTTTTAGGTATTTGTGTTGATTTTTAACAAATGATTTCAACATCATTTATAAACATTTTGCAGAGGTTTCATTGACAATTAACTCTTACTAAGTTTTCTGAATCCTTACAACTTACAAGAAACATAGATAAGGACATCATAGGCTAACAGGTAAATGTCATATTGGTTATTGCGACATCAACAATCATTAATATAAATTAAAAATAACAGGGGACCTAATTTTCTTCCTTTGATGTGGTTAATTTCTTCTGATCAGGACAGCGATTCTTTTGTGCGAACTCGACACATTACATACAGAATAGAGAGAGACATTACATTAAAATCGCTGTCTGTCGAACAAAGATAGGAGTCTCGATAGGAGATGTACTGAAAGATGAGAATCCCACTACATATGTTATTTAATTTTAATCTCTCTGATCTGATACTTAGATAATCTACATGCTACCCCAATGCATGCTTTATAGCATAGATATAAAAACCACCTTTATACAAATACTTTTTAATTTTTTTATCGAATGGTTTTGATCAACAGAATCAAGTGTATTTTAAAGAAATACAATTAATTTTTAATTGTACATATGGCGGGTTGTACAATAGGCAGTTCAAATGTAGACTTAGTTTAAACTGTGAACCTTGTTGTATACTCATCGGTTATTGTTAAACATAGTTTAAAAAATGACATTTGTTTTTGAATATAACTAGTTAAAAATAAAACTCTTGTTAGTTAAAATATGTTTAGAATATTTTTTTGTACAACCTGCCCATAATGTATTTTGTAATAATTAAAAATCATAATATTTTTGTAAGGAAGTTGGAAAGCTTAGGGTTTGATCAGTCGCTGTTGAGATTATTTTCATCTTACCTAAATCATCGTTTTAATTGTCTTTTACAACGGATTTTCATCTTCACCCCTCACAGCAACATCTGGAGTTCCACAGAGCTCCAATCTGGGGCCACTATTATTTGGTATATTTATAAATGACTTGGCAATAAATTTAACCTGCTGTTCGCTGCTAACTTAAAAATATTTACCTCAATCTCATAAATTCAAGACTGTTACTTTTTACAGACCCAACTTGGGAATCGTTGAAAATTGGTGTAATGAAAACAAGCTGTTTATAAATGTGTCTAAATGTAAAGTATGTTCTTATACTAGAAGTAATAACAAGGTGGAGTTTGATTATTTATTTAACAGTCTACCTTTATCGGACTTGTGCACAAATTGAAGATTAAGGTATATTATTCAACCAAAAAGTTACTTTTTTGGATTATATTGAAAATATCGTTGCTTCTGCGTTGAAAAGCTTAGGGTTCTTAATTCGTAATACTCGTTCTTTTACAAACTGTATAATAATAAAGATTGAAAATATATATACTTTTAAGAGTTTTATTATGTCAGCCATAGTTTTATACCAAGTTTTATACATTAAAAATACTTTCATAAATTAACTATATTTATAACACTCATCGACTCTCTCCTGGCTAAAATATTACTTATCTATCTATTAGGCTGTGTTCCGCCTATTTTTTGCCTTCAGCCTCCTTCTGACACTTCCATTCGTTCTTATTCAGTGTAGTATCCACATAGTTTTCAGAATATCAAGTGTTATACCTATCTGATGCTTGGTCCTGCAAAGTTCATCTTCAGTACACCTGCTTGTGACATCTATCTCGATGTCAAGTTTGATTGAACACCCGTTTCTTGCCTATTACTCTTATAATTAACCAGAACTAGCTTAGAATTGAACGCATATGTCTAATTCGGCCAAAACACAGCCTTGGTACACAAATATCTATTTTACCGCTGGTTTCATTACAAAAAACTGGAGTAAAGGGTAAAATTATCTCTTGTCCAGTACACTCGTATAATACACTTGAGTATTAGTCTATATTATTTTTGATTGAAGACGTATACATTTAAAAATGTCGTTTACTTAAAAATAAACATTTAATTTTGATATTTTATTTAACCCGATCAAAACATTAAATTATTATTTTCCATGGCTTATACCGGACCTGTATGTACTCTAGTAGCCATGGAGTAGCTGACAGTGTTGCCGTCAGTTGCCGCCACATATTCATTAGTGACATACGTTTTATAAATTCATAGTGTTACAAATTTGTTGACATAAAGAGATAGAAATTTAAAGTGACGTCTTTTATTACTTCGAATGAAAAAAATCGATAATGCAATTTTCTAATTTCTAAAAAAAATCGTGATTATATGTCAAACAAAATAGAACTTGGCCTTAATATGTTTTAATAAATTCTCTACCAATGAACATCATTATTCACACAGGATTTGAGGCAATATCTCATGAGATATTGTTTCAACCTCAAACTATGTACAAAGGAAAACAACTGGTAAGGGCAGATCATGTCAAAGAAGTGAAAGAATTTAGAAAATGCTTTAAAAGTTATTTAATAACATCAAAAATTATAAGACAAGCATCAGTAACGTTACCAAAAACTAATAACCTTAGGAAAATTAATTATTTACCATTCGACGGAGAAAAATGTTCTCTACAAATTAGCAGAAACGAAAAATTTTCGTAAATCCAACCGTTCAGGAGATATTTAAATTCCTTTATTAATTTATTCACAACAAAATCCAGATTTAATGCCTACTTTGTCCACTGCGAATGCTGTTGTCGATTCGACTGTCCCCACCATATACTTTGCACCTAGCGAATAGATAATTATTAAAGATGGCAATGTGTTAATATCCAATTGAATGAAGGTCAAATAGACAAAAACGAAGAAGGTCAAGGAACATTGTTGACAAGTGACATTTTATTTTTTATTTTTATTTATTTACGTCCGTATGCACCCTACACGTTTAATCTAGATTAAGGATTTAATTGCGTTTAGTACCATTTTTAGCTATGCAGCGTAATAAAAATCATTCTTAATCCAATTTTATTCTAATCCGTCAATATCGAAGGATCAAATTATGTAATCGAGATTTTCTTACGTCAAAAAGATGTCAATGTTTTGTCAGTATATTTGGGACTTTCTATTTGTTTCTTTTATTTGAATTTTAATAAAAAATCGGAAATATAATACCAGCTTTTACTTGGAAGATGACGGAGATTCTAGACAAAATTACCAGAGAAGTGAATATTTTTATACGATGGGCAACTGTGTCATTTTTAAGAGTTTTTTTATATTCTAACGTTACAGCACAATTCTGTAGTTAGATGAATTTGACGAAAAAGTTTTAATAATTTTATTATTTATAGGTTATTTGCTTCCAAATAATTTTTTTTGAAATTATTCATTATTTTCACTAATTTCCGTACATCCTGTTATTCTCCATTTGAGCTTTTGAAAATATCCATGAAATGTCCTTAAATGGACGTTCTTAAAACATCCTGTATATTAACAATGGACGTTCAAAAGACGTCCATAAGACGTACATGTCCGTGAAATGGACGTTTTAAGGATGTCCTGAATGTCCGAGCAGGACGTTTGTAGAACGTCCATAAGACGTATTTGTGTATTTATATCTGGATTTATATTTCTTTTAGTGAGCCCAGAAGCATAATTTTCAATCCAGAACATCGATTATTTAATATGCTTGAATTTAAAAGTGTAAAATATTTAATGGAACAGAATAGGATCTTGTTCTTCTTGTAAAACGTATCTATAAATTTCTAAACCGACTATAATATACAATTGTTTTAAATTTGCTTTACACATGTAAATTATAATGGCGCGAATAAAAAGCTATTTGTTCTGCAGCTGTTACTGGATTCAAATGATTACGAAGTTTATACCCTAGCTGCTAGATGTAGGAGTTTCGCTATTAAGAGTATCCATTTTCGATCCAGAAAAGCCGTTTTTACTTAGGTATTGACCTTGCCAAGTGTATTTTTTTATTTAAAAGTGCAGTATATAGATATGTAGCTTTATTGTAAACAATTTATTTGTTAATAATTTATTTGAACACCTATTTATTTTAAAACAATACTAGTCTGATTTATATATTTCGAATGTCTTTAGATTGTCCACTATTTATCTTCACACCTCTATGTACCTATACGACTGACTGCACTGTGTTTTTCCACCAATATTTATATACACGTTTAAAATTCTGGTAAAGGTCTAGAACGTTCTCGCCAAAACTAGTAACATTATCCCGTTCGTTCTGGAATAGTAATCGAAAGCGCCTTTGCCATAGTCGTCACATATGTTTAGTCTTAAGGAGTTTAATTATGTATGATAATCGGACAGGAACTCCTGCTACCCCTCCTTGTGAGGTTCTTTAGAGCAAGCCTGGCGTGGAGCTATATCCCGCTTGGATGGACGTTGGCAAAAGTCGTGTATATACACAAGGCTGGTAGAGTAGATACCTCCCTACTAAACTCCTATCGTCCAATCTGCCTAACATCCTTTCTTCTAAAAACACTAGAGAGGATTCTAGATAGGCATATTAGAGAAGGAGGCATTCGGGCAAACCCGTTAGACTCCTCCCAATATGCCTACGAAGCAGGCAAATCGACAGATCATGCCCTGCACAATCTAGTAGGCAAAATTGGCGATTCCCTAAATCACGGGGAGATTGCGCTAGGTGCCTTCCTAGACATAGAAGGCGCGTTTAACAACGCCCTTCCTCAGTCTTTGTTCTCTTCTATTGAAAGAAGAGGAACCGGCAAACTAACTTGTAATTGGATCAAAAGCATGCTGGCAAACCGGAACGTCACTTCATCACTGCAGGGAGAGACTGTCACTTTTAGGCCTGCCAGAGGATGTCCACAAGGCAGCGTACTTTTACCCCTACTGTGGACTATTCTGATGGGTAATCTGCTAGACGATCTCTCCCCACGGGGGGTGGATTTCCAATGCTATGCGGATGATCTGGTTATCATAATTAAGAGAAAGTTCGAAGAGGTGATCACCAACATCCTTCAACAAGCCCTTAATACGATCAACAGATGGTGCGAGAGGAAGCAGATGTCTGTTAACCCCCGCAAAACTGTTATTGCCCCCTTCACCAAGAGAAGAAAGCTCGACAAGCTTCGGCTGGCTGGGGAAACCATTTCTTTTGCGGAGGAGGTGAAATATCTGGGAATCAAACTAGATAAGAAACTCACCTGGAACCCCCAATTGGATAAAACCATCAACAAAGCCAGATTATCCCTCTGGACCCTTAGAAGGATATGCGGCAAAGCATGGGGGATCAGTCCTCAACTGATCTACTGGATTTACCAAACAGTGGTAAAATCCATGGTTACGTACGTATCTGTCGTCTGGCGGGACAAGGGACTTCAACGGATGGCCAGAGCAAAGCTAGCTGGAATACAGCAGCTTACGTGCCTTCCCATAACTGGAGCAATGTCAATCACACCTACAGGAGCCATGGATACCATGCTGGACCTAACCCCTCTTTATATTCTTCTGGAAAGGGAGGCCAGGATGGTCTCCTACAGGCTCCTGAAGGTGGGTAGTCAATGTTACGAAGATACGAAGAACCGAATCTGTGTTCATAGGACCAGAACCATTCCTGAGCATTGCAAAAAGCACTGTCCTCTCTCAAAATGGACGGAGGGTGCAACACTCCTGAACTGGAGAGATACCCATTCAAAGGCGTTTATAACCAACCCTTCTATGAACGCCTCTGCTTAGATCCGAGAATGGAGTAAGAAAGATCTACGCATTTTTACTGGACTGATGACAGGACACTGCCGTTTGGGCAACCACATGAGAAGGATAGGTCTGCAACAAACATCGGACTGTCGATTCTGCAGCGTGGAGGACGAGTCTGCAGAGCACATTTTATGTACCTGCTCCGCTCTGGAAAGAACCAGGTTCCAGATCTTTGGATTTACCCGACTGGAGCCTACCGACTTTAAATAAGTCTCACCCAATTCAACCATGACCTTTTTCAAAAGGTGTGGCTTGTACGGTGAACTATAAGTTAGTCATGAGTCACAATAGACCCATCTGGGTCGCAGTGGAAGGCGTTGAAATCATCCCACTCATTTTCAACCTAACCTAACATAGGAGTTTTTCGGATGGGTAAAATCTTCCCAGCTCGTGACTCCGACAGCTAATAATAGTATCTATAGCTATTTTGTTGGACATTTTTTTATAGAAGTGAAAACTTCTGTAGACACGTTAGAGGTTTTTCGGATAGGTAAAATCTTTCCAGCTCGCGACAACATGTTAATTAATAGTATATCTATAGCTATAAGTGTGCCATCCGTTTGCCAGCATGGAAATATATTGAGTTTATGGACAAAATTTTTTTTGGAGATCATTTTGTAAAATAAGCATCGTACTCGGCTTACAGATGTTAATTTAGAAAATACTTTGCGCCTATGTACTAGTGATATTGACCCCAGATATTGATCATCTTGTTTCTCAACTTCAAAATCAAGTCTCTTATTATTTATGATTTGATTTTTCTATCTTTTTTTATTAATATATGTTTGAGCATAATGATTATGCTATTATAATTAATAATTAAAAAATGTGTGAATTTTTGTCGCTTTTTTATTCACTGCTACCTACTTATTTCTTGGCTACGGCCTGCGACCTGTAGTAAAGTGTGGAATGCCTGTAGATCCAAAATATATTGAATACCAGGGACGGTCCACTTGATTAAGATTGGATCATCTAAAATGCTTTGGTAAGTTTTGATAAATTTTATATTTCATAAGTGCCATCAAAAGTAGACCCCCTCCCAACGTAGGCTAGTCCACGAGCCGCCACTGTTTCAACGTCACATTTAAAATGGTAGAAGGTAAAATGAAATAATAACAAACAACAATCTATATTTATGTAGAAACAACAAAAATAACGATATAAACAAATATTAAACTATACAAATAATTTGGTCTGTTTACAGACAAACTTCCTGAAAATGTTTGTGATAAATCTTTGCATTGCTCTGAATAAAAATTTTTTACTTTATCTTTACTATCTTTGGCTATTAAACAAATTTGGTATCCTTTTCCAGTTTTTGAAGTTTTGGTAAATAGTTTATTCGAGTCGATTGTTAAAACTCTTTTAAAATACGGCACTGTCGTTTTGTAAACGATATTTTGAGCGTTTGCAACATCTCTAATGAAGATCTCCGTATCTCCAATATCGGTTTGTTTCATGACTCTCCATTTTGTTTTAAATACTCCTTTTGTACTAAAAATATAAACAATAAAAATCACCAAGGGTTAAAAATAGTTACTTATATTACTTATATAGAATAAAAAAAAAATAATAAACAAAACTTACTGTGATAATTCTCTAAATCTTAAATCGGGCAGTACTTCAAAATCGCCTGAAAGACGTTTCTTAAATTCACTTGTATTAACATTATTGGGACAGTTCAATCTCTCTTCTGGTAGATCAAAGAGAGTATGGTTACTCAAAAAAGACGGAGTTTCACATCTGATATTTTTGTAAAACTCTTTTAAAAATATTTGACTTCTGAAGTATCTTGATAAGGGACGTAAAAAGCAATCACAGTGCAGCTTATTTCCTAAAAATAAAAAAATTATCTCATTCACATTGTTAATAATGAATGTAACTATTTTTTCTGTTCATCAAAAATACAATAAAAAAAAATTAAATATACTACATAAACAAAATTAAGTTATGTTAAGGTTTTAAATAAATAAAACTTTTTATTAATTGAACAGAAATATTATAAACATTATAAAAATAACTAATATTTACACACACCATTATATAAAATACAATCTGAATGCTTTCAACAAATAAGGGATTAATTATGACAATAGTTTTTCGTCGTTAAATGAGCAAATATGCTCCAGTTATTGGAGTCAAACGATGAAAAAAAGGAAAACACTTTACTAATAAAAAATTTTAAATATGAACCCTAATCTTTAAAATAAAGATTCAATATATAACTAATATATTTTATAATTAAATTTAATATAATATAACGAATTCAAATACCTTCAAAGTAAACGTTCACATTTCTTTCAACCATCTGGGTAAGTACTGGAACAAAATTAACAAAACGATTTCCCCTTAAGTCTAAGACAGCAATTTGAGTAGCATTTTTTATATTCATCCACGGCAAATCACTGAGCATATTGTTAGATAAATTGATGTTTGTAATGTTTGCAGGTAATCTAAAGAATTCTTTGTCGCTTACAAGATCTTCAAGTTTATTGTTGGATAGATCAAGTGTTTTGAGTCGGGTGATATTTCCAATGACACCTAGAAATTAAAATCAACTAAATACTTTAATATGCCATGTCAAATACGGCGCATTAAAAATAAGTCGATTGACGAATACTTAAGTGAATTAACTAACGATAGAAGTTTCTTCATTCACTCTGAAACCCTACCAAACTATTAAAAAACCCTACTGTACACAACCCACCAACCAGAAATAGAGATGGAAGCTGGGCCCGAAACAATTTGCAAAAAGCAAACAGATTTGCGGAACATTTATAGAGTACCTTCCAACCCAATAATAGTGAATAATATCTTCAAGAATGGATGGAACTAACACAAGAAGACACAGTCGTTAAACAACTCCATGAGAAACCAGCGCAAGACAAAATAGGGCAAGGACAAAATAGCGCAGGACAAATAGCGCAGAGAAAAATAGCGCAAGGACAAAATAGCCCAATGACAAAACAGAGCAGGACAAAATAGCGCAGGACAAAATAGTGCAGAAAAAATTACGCAAAGACAAAATAGAGCGTAACGAACAAGATATGTTTTTTTTAATTAATGAAATTCATTTAAATAAGGCGTAACAATTACTGTTCCATGACGCCTATGTAGAGAATATTTAAAGTGTAGCTCCATTTCTTTCGCATTTTAGGATACGACCCATTTTAGCGCAAAACAATTTCGCGCGGGATCAAATTTGCTACGACAAATTTGCGCCGCGAGACAAATACATGAGAGATAAGCTAGCGCCTGATATAAATAAAGTGGGACTGATTAACGCGTGTCAAAATATGCAAGTATTTTTATTAAAAAAAACTGCTCTATTTTCTCCTTGCACTATTTTATCTTACGCTATTTTGTGTTGACCTGCACCATTTTGTCATGCTCTGTTTGGTCATGGAGCCACGTTAAAATAACCTCTCCAAAAGAAGTTTATATGGAAATCCAAACAAATATTAATCCGAGAGAAGCCCCTGGATTTGACCTCTGTAATGTATGGATAAAGTTTGCTACATACTCCACTGGCAAATTTCGTGAAATGCCGATGGAGTGTGTAGCAAGCGAAAATGGGCATTGTAATATGGAATTTGGCGTGTTCAGTTTACGTGGTACCGGCTTATTATTTTAACCCTTTAATTATTGTGGGTAACATCCCCAATACATCACAACCTCATTACTGGGAAAATTTTGAAAATGCTTCCCCGAAAAACTATTGCCAAAATGGCCAATCTCATCAATGCGTCCTTTAGACTAAAGTACGTATCAAAGATGTGGAAGGTGGCAGAAGTTATCATGATACCTATGCTAGGTAAACTTCCCCATGAAGTTACATCGTACAGACCCATCTCTTTGTTACCTATTATCTGGAAACTTTATAAAAAGTTGCTTTTTGAGAGATTAGAACCTATAATAGAATATGGGACCTAATAAAATCACAGATATCATTAAAAAGTTTCTAGAAGAAGAAAGTTTGCTTTTTGGATGTGGCTCAGGCTTTCGACAAAGCGAGGCATGAAGGCCTGATTCAAAAACTGAACATGTTCTTGACCCGTCAACTATTAAAATCCTATTTATTTTAGAATTAAACAGAAAGAAGCCTATTCCGACCTAAGAAAAATTAAGGCAGGCGTACCTCTAGGTAGTGTACTAGTTCCAGTACGTGTTGTATACCAGAGATATTCCTAAGCTATAGCCCAAAACTATCGTAACATTTTCGGATAATACCGCAATCCTTGCTATTGGAAAAAAGACGCTAGTAGAAAATTGCTAAAATCTATAGACCAGATTAACACCTGGACGAAAAGATAGCGAATAAAATCTCATTAATGTGTCCTTTAGCAATAAACAAAATAAATATATTCCTATTAGTATAAATAAGACTCCGTTTTGCCAATACAGCAAAATATCTGGGTATGATACTTGATGCTAAACTTCGCTAGAAAGGCCATATTAAAAAGAAACGCAAGGAGCTTGGTAAAAAATACAAAAAAATGTATTGGTTTTTAGGTAAACATTCCAAATTATCCACATACAACAAACTGCTTCTTTACAGGCAGATATTGAAGCCTGTATGGACGTATGGTATTCAGCTTTGGGGCTGTGCCATTCAAAGTAACATCCAAGTTATTCAACGTTTCCAGAATAAAGTATTAAGGAACATCGTTGATGCACCCTGGTACGCCACAATACTCATCTTCATAGGGACCTTAAAATGGAGACTGTTGAAAAAAAAATACAAAAATTGGCCAGTAGTCACCAACAACAACTGCTCCAACATGGAAACGTTGAAACTATCCAGCTCCTTAATAATGCCAATGCTCAAGGGAACCAAGCTTTTTGAGTCAGTTCAGTAATATTAGCTAGATAGATAGATAAATAAATAAAAGCAGTGTTTCAAAACCGTTTGAAATATATCAAAGACGGTCCTGTACTCGCGAACACAGATGTTCATTATAACAACAGGGGTGCGTTCAGAAATGTAGGGTAAATGCGTCCGGACGTTGTCTAAATTCAAAAAATATGGAACGTTTTATCTGGACGAATTACCCCAGCCGTTCCCTATTTGAAAGAAAAACGCGTCGGGATGAAAAAATTTTACCCACTGTGTTGAGTTGGGTAATTTTTACTCGACTTGCGCAGTATGTTATAACCCCAATTAACCTAAGGACCGATTCCACCGTTGTGTTAAACGAAGTTTAAAATTACATTTTTACATCAACAATGTCATTTTAATCTCCGTTTAACACAACGGTGGAATCGGCCCTAAGAGAACCACCTAGTATTTAATTTCCTATTTTTACTTTTTGAGTAAAAACTATTTAAATATGAGTATGAATGAGAGAATTAATTTCATCAATTAGCGTATAGTTGTCGGAAACGATGGTAATTTCATTATATAAAATGATGAAATTTTATGACACAGGAAAAAAGGTAATGAATTGAATGTTTACATAAAAAAGTCTATGTGGACGTCAATGATGTTACCTATTTACTAATTTTTGATAATTCCTACAAACTCAGATAACAGAAAAGACATAACCTAAAACTTGATTTAACAATACTTGCACTTACCGTTCGTATTTATCGGGCAAAAATAAACGTTCCGACGAATTTTGTCCGGACGATTGAAAATTTTACGCTCCCGATTTCTGTACGCACCCCTGTAAACAAACGTCTACGTGACAATAATCGCGTTCGCCAAGTCGCATCAGCGCGGAACACTGAAGGCTAACTAATTTTCAGTCTCGTAGACATATATGTATCTTTTTATTTAACACGACACAAAAATTAGACAAGTCTGTGCTTCGCTAGCTAGAAGACAGACATATTCTCATTAAAATCACGACAGTTCTTTTTCTGTTACATAAATCACTTAAGTTATCCGAGCAAAGATAATAATAAAATAAAATAAGAAACCCTGATGCAGTGTTAAGCATGTAGGTAGTTATTAAATAATAAAAATAATGTAAATATAAACAAATTTAAAAGTTGTCGTGCAGCTTTTTTTACAAAATGTTGGAATTTCATTATCCATATGGAGATGGTGCAGCTAGCACCGAAAGGAGACAGTTCACTTGGTAGGGCCGTATTTAAAATTTGTGTTGGGTTCAACTTTTAATATCCTACAAATTCAACAAGCAGAGTATAGTGCGGTTTAGTATTATACGTTAACGGTAGTGTAACTAAATAATTAGACTCTAAGGTACACTAATGAGTAAAATCTTAGTTTATAAAGTTTTTCATCCCTAGATAAGTTAGGTTTGAATAAAATTGCTAATTGATCTTAATGATCAGATTGTGTATAATCGTAAATGCTTCTTTAGTTGGGGCATTTATATATAAAAAAAAAGATATAAATATAAGATAAGTACCTGTTCTTATATTAGCAATTGCATTATTAGACAAATTCAATTTTTCCACCTTCGATGTTCCAATTGTAAGGTCTATTGTCAAAACGGGCATTAGATTGTAAGACAAATCAATCTCTCTTAATTTATATGGTATATATTGGTTACTTGGGAAAAACTTTTTAGATAAAAAGCTCACCCTATTATGACTTAGATCAAGCTAAAAATAAATAACAGAAATTTATAAAACTTGAATTTGAATGTACGTTTTTAAAATAGATCTGTCCCTAGTTCATTACAAAACAAACATGAACCAAATATACTAATAATATTATTATTAAAAAGTTAGTCGTACTTTTTCCAAAGACAGACACTCATCAAGTACACTATTAGTTTTATTATCCATTTTTGAGATCCTGTTGTAGGAGAGATCCAAACTGGTAAGAGATACCAAGCCTGTGAACAAAACAAATAAAGATTAATGCAAACAACTAAATCAAAAGTTGAACAATTATATTACCCTGGAATGCCCCATTGGGAATCGAACTTATATTATTGTGCGTTAAATTTAACACTATAAGCTGTAGTAGTCCTTCAAATGCCCTAGAACTTATATTATGAATATTATTGTGGGCTAGATTTAGTTCAAAAACTACTGGGAGTCTCCCAAAAGCGTTCCTTGCTAGTTTTGTAATATTATTACCCTGAAAAATTATAATAAACAAATAAAAGTAATTAGTAATAACGTATGTGTATTTGAAATTATCTCCAAAATTAATGGATCAAGTATTGTTATTACGAAAAATTGCATTCTTGATGTGTATAAATTTTTTCAAGTGGCTCAATCTTCTAACTAAATGTGACCCTACATTCATTTTAAAGATTTGTACAAGTTAACCTCAATTATAATTGTGTATTTGGAACCTATTTGGAGGCTATACGTCTAAGGATTCTAAGGACCTTTTAAAACCATATTCATGCACCCCAATTTCCAAGATTAGGATTTTTAAATAAGTTTATCGGTATAGAAGAAGTTAAAAAATAAAATAGAAAAATATTTCAAAGCGATCATTTCCATTCGGAAAACAACTACTTCTTTGGCGAATACTATAGTCTAGAGAAGAAAGAAGTGCAGTAATTTAATTTGCAGAATGTAATACAGGTATAAGAGGTAGACATTTTATTTATACCTCATGTTACTACTTTTGATCGGCCTAATAAAAGTTTTGGTTTAGAAATCAAAGTATGTGGTTTAGAATTAATCACGTTTTCATGGGTTTTACTGTAATAAACATTTTCTTTTGACAGATAAGTCAGAGTTTATTTATTCATAGCTGTATCGTATGTATTTTAATTGATTCGGAATTTTGTATTAGTATATACTATAATTTTATAGTTATATAAGAATGGCAAGTATATTAGAAAATATTGCAAGCACCTAGGGAACATAAAGCATTATCTTTATTAAATACATTAATACGATATTTTCTTCTTCTAAAGGTACGTTTACATCTGACATTTATTGCATGAGATTTATGTCTGACAGTTGTTTAATCCAGTGTAAACACTCACACATATATCTCCGAGAGAAATTTTTGTGTGTTTATACCAATGACATATATAGATTAATAGACTGCTCATCCATATATAAACAAGACGACGAAAAGCGGGTCATATTGCTTGGCTTGCCGAGTGCTCACCAGGCAGAATCGGTCTGGCCCAAATGAGTTTAAAACACATATTTCATCAAAGTAGGAATTGAATTAAAAAAAAATATATCTGTATGTTTATTTCAAGACAGGAGCTTGCGTTAGGTATTTTAAAAAAGGATTTTGAGTCGTAACGTCTAGTTTCCCAATTTTAAAAACATTTTAAGAGATCTAACCAATTTTGAACATAGATATAAACAATTTTACACTCATGTGTATATAACTTTAGACCATGACTACTGTATAGTGGCACTATTCGGACACTTGATTTTTCTTTTAAAATTTATTTCGCATTATAAAAGCAGATATTATGCAAAAATTAAATGAACTTTTTAAAGATTTAAAGTTAGTAGCTTTTTCACATTCTAAAGTTTGTCCCTTTAGACAAGTAAGGATTATTTTGGCGGTGAATGTGAATGATTTGATAAATAATAATAAAATTCCACCAGTGGAAATCTGATCAACATCATAGTAAAATGGACTAGGTACAAAGTGCAATCTTAGTTGACGTCAAGATCCGTGTACCTTAGCATCGGTAAGAGGGAAATAAAGATTCTGACTTATAATCACAAAAAGAACGTACAACTAAGCTTAGTCGATGTAAGTTAGCATGAAGTTAGCTCAGATTAGTGGTAAAAAGAAAGCGACTATTAATAAAAAGAAAAGTAATCCAGCTAAAACAAGAATTATGGCTACTGTCTTTAATAATGATATGTTGCCAGTACTAGTAGAATGTTAAGTGTTGAGTTATCTTCTTCAGGCAATGGATGTACGTATGCATAATTTAAAATGTTTGGTTAATTATTATTATTATGTTTAATGTGTTTTTGCAGTTAATGAACATATATCTACTACTGAAGCAGATAATGAAGATTTGTATGCTGCTGAATAGCTTTGCTTAATTTACAAAACTTCGTTTAAAAACAGAAAATTGGGATCGATTTTTCAACACAAGTGAAGAGTGGTGATTTAGTTGATCCGTTTTCAAACAGAATTGTTAGTGCTAAAGAACTATCTACTTTAATAGGATTGCAATCCTTCCAGTTATTAGCCACCATTGTGGAATTAGTAGCAGAGTTGTTTCTAAAGAATAGGAAAATGGAGATCAGTTATGTCTGTAAAGGATCAAGTTATATTTACTTTTATGAAGTTGAAAACTGATATGCAAGATATAATGTCTTATTCATTTTATTTGGAGTGAATGAAATTTTTTGTTACATTTTTTAACAGTTTTTAATAAAACTGGTAGAAGTTCTTAGTATGGTATAATTCGGCCTTCAAAACAAGAAATATTAAATAATGTGCCTCTATGTAAGTAAGAGTACTACTACTTGATTGTACCGAAATCCCAATACAGCAAGTAAAATGTCTTTGTTGTAGGCTAAATTACTCTGACTACAAAAAGAGGCATACTATTAAAATATTGACTGGAGTGTCACCTACTGGTCTTATTACTTACAAAAGTGAAGCATATGGTGGTAAACTTCAGAAATGGACATTTTTTAACAAAGTTCAATACTTGAAGTGTGTGAATCATTTCTCGATAGTAAAATGTTTAACAAAGGTTTTCTAATTGGAAACATAACAGAAGCTGAAGGTATACAAATTATACAGCCTCCTTTCCTCAATAAAAAAAATCAGTTCAGCCATCAACCCAAACAGCACAGTACGTCTTAAGTACGTACAGTTTTGGTACTGTACGTACAGGACGTAAAATGTACGTTTTAAGTACGTACACAATAGTACGTACCAGTACGTACAGAAAAGTACGTACTAAGTACGTACCTAAGTGTATGTAATCCTGGTTGCATACCTATTTTATTAAAAAACCTATGCTTTTACCAAATTTCTGTTGACCGTAGGCCAAAAAATGCAAAGAAAAAAAGACGAAATCCAATTTATTTAACCTGAACTAAACTCGCTCGTTTTTTTTTAAGTGTTACAGGCAACCACGTTTTAACAGATTGTTTTTGTTAGTTTTTCATGTTTAAGGATTTAACTATTAAGTGTTTCATTAAATAAATAATTGTGTATAATTTATTATAATTGAACAAGACAGTTCTTTAGACTTTTTAGTGCGTGTTATAAGTACATAGTTTCGTCATTTTATTCTGAGTGAGTGGTTTCATTTTAATATTAAAAAATTATGTGTAATAAATATAATTTATAGATACCTATGTCATCCCATCCGATAGTAAACATTACAAAAATGCTACAAAACAATTAAAAATGTTTAAGGAAATGAATAAATATTTTAGACAAAAGAAGTGATATTTTATAGACCCTAATAATTTAATTTTGGATTTTGTCAAAAGGAGTATTGCTGGTGCCTTTTAATAACTAATAAGCTGGCAACAAATTATAATTGGCTGCAGTTGAAGTGGGTAAGATGTTTTAATTTTTTATTTTTGCATGCCAGTTATCATAAAGTCATTGCATTAAAACCTCTCAATCCAGTCAAAATTATTTTTGTATCTAATGAAATTGTGTTCTTCCAACCATTGGACTTCAAAACTGACGTCGATATAGCTTAACAAAAAGAAATATAGGTGTTCCGATATTATAGAACAGTGGCAGGAACGAATTGGTTTTCAAAGGCATAAGGCCAAAACAGGTGGATACAAATGAGAGAGGTTTAGATCCAGGAGTATATTGACAATGATCATTTTGAACTGTGGAAACTATCGCTTACTTTACATCTTTTTGTTGTATTGTTTTTATTATATTGTTTATTATAAAAAGTAACAAAGTTAAGTTTCTAATTTGATATTATTTCTTTGCAGAAGGTTCTATAAAAAGTAGCAAATGGAAAGAGAAGTTTGTAGAACAGGAAAATTGTGAGATAGCTAAGAAGAGCTGATTATAGCCTAAAAACTTTCAAAAAGATAGCAAAACAATTTAAATTATTCTTTTAATGTAAAAAATTAAATAAATACAAATTAACTTGTTTACTTTTCTTTTTAATGCACTAATACGTATATTATACATCATAAGTAAGTACCAATAAGGATGTAAAGTACGTCTAAAATATGTACTCTATTGGAATAAGTACAAACATAGTACGTACATTAAGTACGTACACAGTATGTACGTACATTAGGTACGTACAGAGTACGTACATGAGGTACGTACAGAGTACGTACTTTAAGTACGTACTAGGTATGTACCGTCGTTTGGAAAATGTACGTATTATGTACGTACTATGTACGTACTTCGTACAGTAAAGTACGTACATGGTACGTACTTTACGTCCCATCAGTACGTACATAGTACGTCTTATGTACGTAAGTGTGTTTGCTGGGAAGAGGCTTTACTTAATGCCAAAATTGCCAGAGCTAGAATTCACATAGAAAGAACCTATCAAAGAATAAAAGTGTTTGTCTCTCTGTATTGGTACTTATGTCCGTTTTTTTTCTATTTATATTGAGTTTTTACTTAGATTAAAGAGACCGAAGATGTAACATTGCACACTGCGCATGTTGTCTATTTTAAGCCAAAGTAACCCACCAATTGAAAATCATTGTTGCACGACGCCACCCGAATTGCTCCGATTTCCATTCAGCGATCACACCTCCACCTGAGTTTAATCACCATTGACAGCTGTTTTTTGATTTATTTGTTGGTATTTTAGCAATTTAAAGTGTTCTAGTTATTCAATTTCAAGTTCAAAATGTCACGATGTATCTTGAAAAATTGTATGTACTTATAATACAAGTACTACTGTTATGAATATATTCGTTTTCAGCGGTAAATATTTATTAACGTTTTGACATAAAGCGCCATGATTCTCTGGGCTGAATACTTCAGAGCCGCATTAAGGGGTTTCAATAAATATTAAGCATCACAAACTCAGATTTCATATTACTTACATAAATTTACAAAAGGGTAAAATTTTGAACATTTAATTTAAATAAATAGTAAATAGGCATTATTGCTAACGAAATTTTGTATTTAAAAAGTAGTTTTATAAGAATGTTTTCTAAAGGTAGTTTTTA